GACCATGGTTTCTGATTAATAACAAATAACCGTTTGAGATTGACATCTCTTTACTATAAAAATATAACACAAAACTCTGACACCACTCAACAAACATCAAGTAACAATGACGGGAGTCAAACAATTAATGCAGTAAACAGTTAATGGAGTCAAACAATTAATGGGAGTCAATAACTGATAGAATCAAAAAATAAAAGGGAGTCAGCAATTAACGGAATCAAACAATAGAATCAAACAATAAACAGATATTTCCTACGACAGTGGCCCTGGGGGAAGGTTCTGGAACACTGTGATCCACTCTCGGGGGGGGGGGTGCGTCCGTTCAACTCCTCACTCGAGCAACAGCGGCCGATGTCTTGATACAGCAGACGAAACACCGGGGCACAGACGGTGGAGAGGAGCTGGCGGTCGTGGCGGCTGAGGTAGTGGTTGATGTCCAGAGAATTGACAGTCGATAGGTGAAGGTCTGGGAAAACAGCCCATGAGTTCAGGACCTATGATGAGATCACAGCCAGAATTTGACGAACAGCAGGGTAGCTAGATAGTGACTGTATGACGGCTGGGGTGAATCTGACGGCGACACAGGTAGAAGCGCCATTTTCGCTTCTGTCCAACCACCCCAAGTGTTGGTCGCACCAGCAAACAAGCGAGAAAGCAGCTGTAATGAGCAGGAAGATCGTTTCCGTCCTTACACACCTAACGAATAGTAAACGTAACGCCGGCGGGCAATTGAAAAGATATAAGGATAGTCTTAAGACAAACGTGAAAAAGTGCCAAATCGACCCCCTTACCTGGGAGACGATCACTCTACACCGTAACACTTGGAGGAACACCACACGAGAAGGTGTCAATACTTTCGAGTTAGTCCGACTGCAAACCGGGGCAGACAAGCGCCAACGCCGGAAAGACGCTGCCACCGTCCCTCCCGAACTAGATGCAGCCCTCCACATGTGCAACAAATGTGGACGACCCTGCGGGTCCCGTATTGTCCTCTTTAGTCACCTCAAAACTCACGAATGAAGGTGACATCCTTAATAACTTATATCATTATATCATAGCTGGATGATCGTCATACTCGATTCTGAGCAACAGCAATGTAGTAGTAGTAGTAGTAGTAGTAGTGTGTGTGTGTGTGTGTGTGTGTGTGTGTATTTATGTACAACCTCCCACACTTCCACTTGCTACAGCCAGCGTTGTCAATCCACGTCTCAGAGAGTTTTGAACCCCAAGAGTATAAACCTGCATCCGAAGCATTCACTCATGACGCTTACGCCCGTATTATTAAACAACATCTTTCCTTGAAGAGGGTCGTCGTGTTTCAACCCGAGTTTTAAACTCAATGAGTCGTGAGGGACACCGCAGTACTTACCGGGTTGGTGTGGCGGCAAAATCAATTAATTCCAATAAAATTAATTTATATTATTGGAATTAGTTAATTCACACACAATTGCAGGGTCTCAATTGTTTCTCTTACTTTGACAACACAACATACATGTATTGTTTCTCACTATTGATCTTTTTAAATTTTTGTATTTCTTTATGGTTCATTATTATTATTATTATTATTATTATTATTATTATTATTATTATTATTATTATTATTATTATTATTATTATTATTATTATTATTATTATTATTATTATTATTATTATTATTATTATTATTATTATTATTATTATTATTATTATTATTAATATTATTATTATTATTATTATTATTATTATTATTATTATTATCATTATTATTATTATTATTATTATTATTATTATTATTATTATTAATATTATTATTATTTATTTATTTATCTTTTATTTATTTACTATGAACTAATTATTATTATTGGTGTTATTATTATTACATTTTGCCCCAGGCCCCGATGTGGGTCAGTGACCTGTGCCCGCGTGGGCTAATCTCTGTAAAAAAAACAAAAAACAATTGACTCCTAGACATGACAGTCTACAGTGGTGTATAGGTTAGCGAGAAGCCGGCCATGGCTGGACTCAGTTTTTACTCATTCTCCATCATCCTCAAAGATTTTTGCGTGATGTAAATAATTACTGAGAATATATGTTGCCATATATGCAAAACTTTTCAATATATCATACCTCAAATTTTTTAGCGATCTGGAAAGATTCAGACACGAATTTGTTAAACTTTGCTTTTTCATGAGTGGCTTCACTGACAACGACCCCGGAGCCCAGTAAGGTTAGGGTTGATTTTATACCAGCCACCATGACTGTATCAAGACTTCCATCTTGGACTGTATGATTTTTCTTTTATGGGAATAGCCCACCCGGGAGCAGGTCATCGACCCACAACGGGGCCTGGAAAAATTAGAGTAAAAATAAAATAAAATAGAAAAGCAAAAATTTATATTAATCTACACCACAAAGATGCCGGAAAACCAGCTTTTTGAAGTGAGACATTGTATGAGTATGGAAACATAGAAGACGGCAGAACATTCAAACAGTTTGGCTTTGTGAGGAAAGAAGAATGTACTGTAGTGTGAACAATTTGAGATCAGTGACGATAGGTATTGGGAAAGGCGAGTTGTTCCAGCAGTATGTTGGCAGCCCTGTAATCCTGCTGAGCTGCGACCGTTGATGTATGGAGATATATTTCGTCTGTCTCATTCCACACGTTTCGAATCTCACAAATATCAATATAGAAGCACCCACATATTGATCCGTTTCATAATGCCATTGTATACTGAACATTGTGTAATTTAAATGTAATACTTTAAGAGCCTTTTGATAATAATTTCCTGTGTAGATCTCTACTGCTTCATATTGCCTCTGTTTTATACCCACGTTCACCGAGACCGAACCCTCGTTCATCATTCAGTCGACACAAAGCAACAATCCGAAAAGAGGAAACAAACACACTGATTGTCAGCCATATGGCAACACCTAGTGGAGGGGAGAGGGGGGTTATGAGGATACACTTACCAACCTTCCCGACATATCACAGTGTATACGTATCGTTTCGGAAGTCGTCGATCACACCCTGCACCGATACTTTTTGGTGCGAGTGTACTATAATGGGTTATTCTAGTGTGACTGACATCCACAGAGAAACGGTGGGCACCGCGGGCAAGACAAGTGTTACGATTCCACGGCCTTGCCGGCGGTACACAGGATGAAAAATCCACCGAACATTGCCCGTTAAAGTACCTGTAAAAGAGAGAGAGTGAAGCAACATTGCAGCGAAGAGAAAGGAAGAGAGATTGTCGACTAAAGGAGAAGAGTTAATAAGATGAAATGCCTTTGATTCCACCCCATCTAACAGTTGGACAGAAGAAGAGCCACCCCAGATATGAGAGCAGTACTCCAAGTTAAGACGAATGAATCCCTAATAAACTTGAATCAACTGCACAGGAGTGAAGTAGCTACGGCATCTGTACAGCATTCCCAACTTTAGCAATGTTGTAGATGTGTGGCTTCCATGACATATTAGAGGAAATGGTGAGACCTAGCATATCTATTTTAGAATTTGGCAGAATGATTGCATCCTGAAATGTGATTGGCGGGAGATCATCTAATTTGGAAAGTGTAATTGGTTAATACTGTGTTTTATTTATATTTAATTTAACCATGTTTCTACCTCCCCATTCGGAGATGCTGCACAGATCCGCATTGATATATGAAATGATATCAGCTCTAGAAACAGATCTAGTTTGAGAGTTAGGAGGAAGGGGAAAATGTGAAGAAGAGTGAAGAGTAGAATCATCAGCATAAGAATGGATAGAATTAGTCATAATGTGAAGTAAATCATTGATAAAAAGAAGGAAGAGAGTAGGTGAAAGGACTGAACCATGTGTGTAATTGGAAGAAACAAAATGAAAGGTATAAGAACACAGGAAAAAAGAGAAACGAAAAATAGAATATATATATATATATATATTATATATATATATATATATATATATATATATATATATATATATATATATATATATATATATATATATATATATATATATATATAGAGAGAGAGAGAGAGAGAGTCAGTAGATCGGGACACATACTGTAAATTACCAAGACTAAGATGATGGTTATATATATCCCTCCTCTACCCTCTCCCTCCCCCTCCCCTCATCTCCCTTCCCTCACCTCCCTCCTCCCCTCACCTCCCCTCACCTCCTCTCACCTCCACTCACCTCCCTTCCCTGACCTTACTCTCTCCTCCCCTCCTCTTCCCTCCCCTCACCTCCTCTCCACTCTTATCAACTCCTCTCCTCAACCTTCCCTGCCCTCACCTCCCTCCCCTCCTCCCTCCCTCCCCTCCCCTCCTCCCTCCCTCCCTCCTCTCCTCCCTCCTCCTCTCCCTCCCCCTCCCCTTCCCTCCCTCCCTCTCCACTCCTATCAACTCCTCTCTCCTCTCCCTCAACCCTCCCTCCTCCTCCTCTCCCTCCCTCCCTCCTCCCTCCCTCCCTCACCTCCTCCCTCCTATCAACTCCTCTCTCCTCTCCTCAACTCCTCCCTCCTCCCTCCCTCCTCCCTCCTCCCCTCCTCCCCTCCCTCCCTCCCTCTCCTCCCTCAACCTCCTCTCCCCTCCCTCCCCCTCACCTCCTCTCCCTTCCATCCCATCCCCTCCTCTCCTCAACTCCCCCTCCCCCTCCCTCCCCTCCCCTCCCTCCCTCCCTCCTCCTCCTTTCCCCCCTCCTCTTCTCTCCCCTCACCTCACTCTCCACTCTTATCAACTCCTTTCCCCTACCCTCCCCTCACCTCCTCTCCCTTCCATCCCGTCCCTCCTCCCCTCCTCTCCCTCCCCCTCCCTTCCCTCCTCCCCTCCCCTCCCTCCTTTCCCCTCCTCTCCCCTCACCACCCCTTCCCTCTCCTTCCTTCCCTTACTCTCTACTCCCTCTTCGATCACTTCTCCTCTCTCACTCTCTTCTCTTTTCCTCCTTATCCCTTCTGTCTCTCCTCTTTCTTCTCTCCTCTTCCTCTTGCTCTCTTCTCCTTCCACTCTCCTCACTCTACCCCTCCTCCCGTCATAGGTCAGGGCTACGTTCACTACCACACAACGCCAAGATGCATTATAACTACGGCAACCTCCAGCGTGATGTAAACAACCACGACCGTGCCATACTACACTACAGGGAGGCTATCAGGTGAGTCTCTACCTACCTACCTACCCTCCCACGTACCCATCCTCAAGCACGCCCACCCACCTTTGTATCTATCTACTTATCTGTCTATCTATCTATCTACTCTATCTATCTATCTATCTATCTATCTATCTATCTATCTCTCTATCTCTCTATCTATCTATCTGTATACATGTATCTTTGCATCTCTCTCTCTCTCTCTCTCTCTCTCTCTCTCTCTCTCTCTCTCCATGAACTTCATAAATTAAATTGTTCTCGTAATTCTTTCACAGGAAAAATTCTTCTATTTTGTGTTTTAATCATGGAATGATTAAAGAGAGAGAGAGAGAGAGAGAGAGAGAGAGAGAGAGAGAGAAAACATAGATGTTTTATATAATGAATGATTTGAGAAGCAGAGAGTTAACTTTAATCGACTACTGCTCCTACTAGTACTACTTTCATCCTTTTTTTAAATGGCCTCCAGCTTCCCTCTCATAGCCACACCTTCGCCGCCATTTTATTGCCTTAAAATTAAATATCTTAATACATAAGTAGCTATCCTAGCTGTGTTGAGTTAGTTGAGACGCATATCTATGCAGCATTCAGTGACTATAGCCTCATAGTCAATATCTGCAGCTGTTCTTGGCTTTGGGGCCGATGCTCTCGTTCGGCTGAGGTAAAGCAAAGCAGACCTAAGGAGAGAGAAGGACAGTCGACATCTCATCCAGACTGTAACATAACTTCTGAGGTGCTGCTTCTGTTCGGATATCACCTCCGCGAGTCTGGCGTAGAAGCATCTTGCATTTGGTCCCATCCCACCAGAGATTTGTGAACACTAGAGGAGTGAAGCTGCCTTGATCAACGTTCTGAATTATCTCTCCGTATGCCCTTATCTTGTCGTTCTCGTTCATCCTGCGTGCAGCATCGATAGCTAAGTTATGGTGACATGCGGCCATGGGATAAAAAATCCTGATGTCGAAGAAGGCTTGCTGTCCCCGCGTCCATAATACTAAACCACTGACATCAACACAGGCTTCGTTAGATGTGTTTGAAGTCCTATATTGGAAATTTTCACCGTCCAATGGAAGGAGGGTCGGTTCTACCCTGACATCATGACACATTTCCTTCAACATATTTGTAGTGAGATCCCTTACTTCGTCATGCCTCATGCATATGAAGCCCTCTTTCTTGCACACCATGGCGAGATCGACGTCATAAGAAAAGCCACACACACATTGGGAGGGCAAACCTTCTACTGGCCTGCCGTACCTTAGAGCAATGGCATTTGTAAATTCTTGTTTATTAAGACTGAAACCATTTGCCCTTATCGGTAACGTAGTTAACCAGTTCGAGGGGCCCACCTCCTGCGCTATAGCAATTTTTTTTCAAATTCTTTGGTACTTGCAGCATCAGTTGCTGCAACTTATCACTTTGGCTGTGCTGTCGTTCTATCATAATGGACCGTCGAATCCTGTTTACTTCGTTGGTATCCACCTCCCCTGTTGCATTCTGAGCTATTATGTGGTCGGTGAGGGCCTGAGTGAGCTTAACTGAGTTTTGATGTTCGGTGGCAGCAATCTCCTTTGGATTGGACAATCCCATTTCTCCCAGTCTCTGTGGTAGTGCAAGGAGTGATCTTTCTGCTGGGGTTAAGTGAAGATTTTTCACTAATTTGGGAATGAAAATGACGCTGATAGCTTCTTCCAGAGGGTGGAGGAGTGGTCCGATATCAGGGATAGTGCGTATCAGGTAGTTCCAGCGATGCTTGACTCCGTGGGTAAGAGCCGCAAAAGCAGCATGTGTCTCTGTGTTAGCAATATCAGACAGAGCTTGGATTTCCCTGACCCACTCATTCACCTTTCCCGCTATGTATTCGGATTTGACGTCCGTCGTGCCGATTACTGCGCTTAGGTTTCTTTGGCCATCCATTGTTATTTTGACTTCACTTCCACCGAACACCTCCATTGCCCATTCATAATGTTCTGGCTTCACAATGAGGAAGGAATTGCTGGCATTTGGGTCGTACCCTATTTTTGGACCATTTGATGTTATCAGGTCCCACCACTTTTTTATGTCCTCCACTTTTCCTGCTCCTGTAAGGTCATCTGCGTACGCCACTTGCTTTACCTCCGTTGTTTTAAATTTTATTGTGTGATGGAGCACGGATAGGCCTATTGTGTACATTGCCATTGCAACAGGGTCCCCCTGCGTTGTTCCATCAGTTGACTGTATGATGGATTCGTATAGGTCTGATGGATTCGTATAGGTGTTTTCAACATACAATGCAAAGCTTGGACGCTTGATCTTGATGTTGTGCAGTGTGGCCTTGCGGTTAAGTATGTTGAATGCGTTGGAAGCTTCAACCAGGAGAACTGCCTCACAATCACGCTGCTCAAATATCGCTCTCATGGCGTGAATGGCAGCTTCCCCTCCTGCCTGGTGGCCAGCACAAACTTGCAGGTTCCCTGCTGCTGCCCTAGCATCATCCTTTACCACCTCCATTATGCATTTTCCGATGATCCGCCTCAGCACTTCCCCCCACCCTTATAGGCCTACATCCTGGATTCTTATCCAGGGGAATGAAGCGGCAGGCCGTCAGAGCATGGAGGTGTTGGCAGCACGAGGTTGCTAGCTTTCTTGCAAGGGCGGCAATGGCAGTGTAGAGACCACTTGCTCCGGGGCCAAACTTGAATTTTCAGTGCTTTTTCCACACCATCCGTCCTGTTGTTTTCTCTAACAGAACAGCATTTGGTGGGTTATAGTCACCCTGGAACCTGATGCCTTCGTCTTCACTTACAGGAGGATGTTTTTCCTTCAGCTGTTTTAATGTCTCTGTTTATTGGCAGAACACCACCAGAGGATTCCTCTGTGAGAGATGTGACCGCCAAAGGCATTTTTCCCACACGCATTTTGTTTGCAAACTTTCTTGCAACGTCATCGGTGTTTTGCTTTCCGTTTCCTATAAATTTTAGTCTCTCCTGCAATGTTCTTGCTTCACATAGGAGATCATCAAGGGCCCCATTCTGCCACATTGTCAATCTTCTCTTCATTGCTGCCACATTTTCTTTGTGCTTAATCTTTGTGTGTGTCCTCTGACAGAAAAGATGGGGTATTATTGCCAGTATTTGAAGAGCTAAAAGGGCAAGGAAGCAGTCCTGAGTGTACTCGGTTATGTGGCAAGTCATCTCCCGAATCATTTCTTTGGTGGCCACACACTTGGGTGGTTCAATCAGGCTAGCTGACGACCACCTGACAATTTCTGAGTAAGTTTCTTTAACCCATATGTCCGCATTTTCCATCAACATGCCATTCCACTCTGATGGCTGTCTGCCATTCACCTCGTGGACATCTGCTACTATTGGATGAGCGTTTATTAGTACTAATCTTTCAGGTTGAGTAGACTCACTGCTATCATTTAGGATATCTTCGGGCGGTTGTGTCTGGGCGATATCTACTGTGGCCTTCTGTGTCGGCTCCCTGCCGTGTGGGTTTCGACAATTGTTTCCCTTTCTGCAAACCACACATGGTCGGTTGTTTCTCGCACATTCACAGCTAGTGCAATTTTGGTTCTGGCTAGCACAAACGCAACAAGGTCTGTTACCCGGCATAGTGCTCCACACTTTGGGCGACAATTACGTCCGCCTCCGACATCTGCTTTGGTCCCATACAGATGAAGAAACTAGTTCTTATGAGGAAAGAGCGGAGAGGTGACAGGCTGGACTGCTGTGTCCGGGTAGTAGGGGCATACGTACGCGCATGGGTGTGTAGGTCACCCTTGGGGTGGGTGAGGGTGACAGTCCACACATCAGAGTGATACACTGGGAGCAAGAATTGTCACACCTAACAAGTTCTTATATATCTATGGCAGGTACTACTACTACTACTACTACTACTACTACTAATAATAATAATAATAATAATAATAATAATAATAATAATAATAATAATAATAATAATAATAATAAATGGTGTTCATATCTCTGGCGCTAGACTATGGTGGTCATACTCCAGTGCCCACAACAACCTTGGCACTCTACTACTACAGAGGCACCACTACCAGCAGGCAGAGTGGCACTTTAAGGTGGCACTGAAGACTCACCCCAGACACCCTCACGCTGCTCTCAACTTGGCCACACTCTGGAGGTGGGTGTACTATCTCTGTCTGTTTCTCGTGTTATGCCAGTTTTTCAATGCAGCACAGGAGGGCCAAATGGCACATAGAATCACTAAACACCAAATGCCCCCTCGTACACAGCCAATAGGTTGCACACCGGTTGGAGATCATTAATACTTTGGGGCTCGTTTACCATTCAATGAAGCCATCAGTGTTTCAGTGCAGGTTTGGTTTAGTATCATTTATCAACATCAGACACACTAACATCATATATCAAAAATATCAGACACAATAATATCCCTCTAAATATCCCTCTTAGGGATTATCAGGAAACTTTGTGGTGGCCCTCGACATCTCCAAAGCATTTGACAGGGTATGGCACAAGTCTTTGCTATCTAAGCTTCCCTCTTTTGGTTTCTCTCCCCCACTTTGTTATCTAATCTCTAGCTTCCTTGAGAACCGATCCATGGCAGTTGTTGCCGAGGGATCGATCTCTCGCTCTTTCTCTACCAATAGTGGTGTCCCACAGGGTTCTGATCTTTCACCTACTCTCTTCTTTCTTTTTATCAATGATTTACTTCACACTACAACTAACTTTATCCATTCTTACACTGATGATTCCACTCTTTACTTTTCTTCACATTTTCTCCTTCCTCCTAACTCTCAAACTAGATCTGTTTCCAGAGCTGATATCATTATTTCTACCAATGCAGATCTGTGCAGCATCTCTGAATGGGGAGATACAAACTTGGTTAAGGTCAATAGTAACAAAACTCAATATTTACCAATTACACTTTGTAAAGCAGACGATCTCCCACCAATTACATTTCAGGACGCTATCATCCCCCCAAATTCTGAAATAAATATGTTAGGCCTCACCATTTCCTCCAATATGTCCTGGAAATCACACATCCTTAGTATAACTAAAGCTGCCTCCCGAAAGTTGGGAATGCTGTACAGATGCCGCAGCTAATTCACTCCTGAGCAGTTGCTCCAAGTATATAAGGGATTCATTCGTCCTAACTTGGAGTACTGCTCTCATATCTGGGGTGGCTCTTCTTCTGTCCAACTATTAGATAGGGTGGAATCAAAGGCATTTCGTCTTATTAACTCTCCTCCTTTAGTCGACAATCTCTCTCCCCTTTCTCTTCGCCGCAATGTTGCTTCACTCTCTCTCTTTTACAGGTAATTTAACGGGCAATGTTCAGTGGATTTGGCATCCTGTGTACCGCTGGTAAGGCCGTGGGTTCGTAACACACGTCTTGCCCGCGGTGCCCACCATTTCTCTGTTGATATCGGTCACACGAGAATAACCCGTTATAGTACCTCCTTCTTTCCTCACACAGCCAAACTGTGGAATGCTTTGCCTTCTTCTGTATTTCCATGCTCTTACAATCTGTCTCACTTTAAAAAGCTGGTTTTCCGGCATCTTCGTGGTGTAGATTAATACAGTATAACCTTTTTTTCTATATTTTCAATTTTTTTCCGTTCTTTTTTTTTCGCCCCCCAGGCTCCGTTGTGGGTCGTTTGACCTGTGCCCGGGTTGGCTAATTCCCGTAAAAAAAAAAAAAGGTAAGCGAAATGAAACCCCAAGGGATTCTTTCAAATGTATCAAGCTAAAACACGAGAAAAGATTGGAGCAATACAGTCAGATACCGGTGAGCTAACTGATAACGATGGAGAAATGAGCAATAATCTGAATAAATATTTTTCAAAAGTTTTCACCACCGAATATTTAAACATGATACCCGAGGCACCGACTACATACAGAGATAGTGAAGAAAATAAATTCAGCGAGATAGTAGTGACCAGTAACGACGTTAGTAAGCTAATAGACAAACTAAAGCCTAATAAGTCGCCAGATCCCAATGAGATATTTGCCAGAGTATTAAAGAAATGTAAGGAAGAGCTTAGTATGCCCTTAGCTAAGCTGTTTAACATGTCCTTAAAAACGGGTGTAGTACCAGAATCCTGGAGGATAGCGAATGTAATACCGATTTTCAAGAAGGAAGATAGATCACTATCCTCTAACTACCGTCCAATCAGCTTAACATGAATTATAGGCATATTATTGCAAGCAAGAATTTCAAACTCTATTCGAAATCACATGGCTTCACAAGCGGGCATTCATGTCTAACTAATCTATTAACATTCTTTTCATCTGTTTTCGAATTAGTGGATTTTAGTAAAGCCTTCGACAGAGTCCCCCACGAAAGAGTAATGAGAAAAGTGGAGGTTCATGGCATTGGAAGAGATATTCTAAAGTGGATTAGTGCGTGGTTACAGGACAGGAAACAGCGAGTGAGCATTAATAGCACTAAATCCGACTGGAGTAACGTCACTTGGACCATTATTATTTATCATATACATAAACGACATAGATATCGGCGTAGACAGCAACATGAGTAAATTTGCTGATGACACTAAAATGGGGCGTATTATTAAATCTGACGAGGACTCCTTAAAACTATAGGAAGATCTAAAAAGAAATTTTGAATGGTCTGAAAAATGGCAGATGAAATTCAATGTGGACAAATGTAAAGTACTCAGTATGGGAGATGTAAATAGAGAAACCAGATACCAGATGAACACCAATGTTATCGAGAAATCCAAATGTGAGAAAGATTTAGGAGTAATGATTTTTTTTTTACGGGGATTAGCCCACCCAGGCACAGATCACTGACCCACATCGGAGCCTGGGGGGCGAAAATGTAATACTAGTAATAAATAATAATAATAATAATTCATAGTAAATAAAAATTTTAATAAAAAATAAAATAATAAAATAATATTGATAATAAAAATAATAATAATAATAATGATAATAATAATAATAATAATAATAATAATAATAATAATAATAATAATAATAATAATAATAATAATAATAATAATAATAATAATAATAATAATAATAATAAAGAACCATGAATACAAAAATGAAAAAAAAAGATTAAAAATGAGAAACAATATATGCATGTTGTGCTGTCAATAGTAGGAGAAATGATTTAGACCCAATTTTCGTGATGCCATATGGCAGCAGGGTCCACCATTAGACAACACATTATACTTCCAATATCTTCCCAGTAAACAATGTGTATTTGCTCGAAACAAAGCTAATAAAGTACTTGGGTTCATACAAAGGAGTGTTAGTTTCAAGACTGAAGAGGTCATCCAAAAACTATATCTTACGCTTGTGAGACCTCACTTGGATTATGCAGTTCAATTTTGGTCACCGTACTACAGAATGGATATAGAATCCCAAGAAAGAATTCAGAGGAGAATAGCAGAACTAATCCCGGGCATTAGGAACCTCGAGTACAGAGACAGATTAAAGCATCTTAATTTACACTCCATCGAGAGACGTAGAGTGAGGGGCGATATGATAGAGGTCAGAGCGCACCCAACCTTCATAGCGAGCGGACGTGCCACGCGTCGCTCCCTGCTCAGTTCAAATCGCTGACCGTTACGACTGTCTGCCTTGTTTTTCGCGTTGGGTCCGTTCTGACTGCTTTATCATGTAGTTGTACATGGATATCATTATTCTTGTACACTGCGCTTCTTCCCTATCCTATCCTTTCGCCTAGAGTCCCTGCTGTTTGGTAACGACGCGAACCCTGCGGGCAGAGCCTCAAGGGGGGCCCTCAAAGGGCTGCTGAGTCGAGACAGTAAGGGTGGCAACATTTTCTGTTAGGGATTCGACAGTGCTTCATAACCTGTCACTGCTAGGTGTTAGGGCTTGGCTAGGCTCCCGCCAGGGGATTGTCTGTTTACCCTACCCCTAGACCCGTCTTTACTCGCCCAGCAAGCGGACAGAAGGAGCGGCATCCATGGGGTTTAGCTGAGGTGGACAGATTAGGTAGAATTTTCATTCATTCATTCATGTATGTTACTGACCATGGCCAAAGTGAGAGTGAAGATCTCCGGAACCCCGACCCAGGGGTCTCGGATAGGGCTAAAAAGGCTATTGAGCGACCTAAGGGTGAGAATAAATAGACATGTGGATCTGAGAGATGGCTACATCATCCTCACAGAAACTGATGAAGATGCTGATAAACTACTTAAGTCTAGTGCCCTGGACAAAATGAAAACCAACGGTTACGAGGTCATTGTCCCACGGGAATACGGCGCCAAGCTCACCCTTGTATGTAAGAAGATAGACAAAGATGTAGTGGAAAATAACGCAGAAGAAACGCAAAATAATGTCAAGGTTGTGGAGGTGTATCCTATGTATGCCCATAATATAATCAAGGTTCGCTTTGCAGACACAACGGATGCGAAAAGAATGAAGGAGAAGGGGCTCTATGATGGCACTTCCATCTCATCCCACCAAATTGAATATGAAAAGTATACGCCCATCCAACAATGTATGAAGTGCTATAAATACAATGACCACATGACCAAGAACTGCCCCATGCAAGGGGTCATATGCTCTGAGTGTTCATCTGATCAACACTTCTACAAAGACTGCCGTAGCACCATAAAAAAGTGTGTCGTCTGCGAGAGTGACCACAGGACCTTCTCTGCCACCTGCCTGGTCAGGAAACAGGTAACTCAAGAAACAGAGAAGAAACTGACCGAAATTACCAAACAAAAAGAAACCAGGGAAATTTCTAACACCATAGAAAGGACCACTCAGTCGACGATCATGGCTTACAGCCAAACCCTAAAAGACGCTCTAAAAGAAACTCAAGCAGACTCCCAAAAGCTCAACAATGTCAGCGAGACCATGGAAGTCCTGCAATCAGAGATAAGAACCATCAAGGACTCAATAAAACAGGCAGTTACTGAGTCACTGGGCGCCATGAGGGACGCAGTGGCCGAGAGCATCAGGAGCGTCTCCTCTCCACAGCTGGACGAGTCCAAAGCCACCACTATATACTTGTCTTACCTGTGTCGCGATCCCACTACCCTTTATACCTGGGGAGTGAAACCTACCCCAAGTTATTAACAAATAAAGGAACAAATAGGGAACACGGCAATAATTATCCCCACCAAAAACCTACTCAACTAAATGTACTTGAATAAG